TCAGTTTTTCGATATTTACCTATTGACTGTTATACGTGTCATCAATATGTACAATCAACATCCAAGTAAATAACTACTATTTTAATTTTAATCGAAATAATTTATTGTAAGAATATTGTAGTCATAATGTCATATTCACGTAATAGAGATAATAATAATATTGTAAATGTGTACTGCTATCGGTTGTTGATGACTGGACATCAGTCATACTGTGAAACAATTACAATACATGTTGAATAAATAAATTCAGTAGGTACCCTTACAGCTTACACTAGTTTAAAAAAAAGATTTAAAAATTCCTTACAAGCATAGGTAATATTTCATATTTGCACTCACTTTCATTAGGTACATATTTTAATTTTTAATATCTAATCAATGATTTTTTTTTAAATTAACTTATTAATATTAATGATAAGTTAAATTATGATACATTTTATCTCAATTGAGGTATTTAAAATATTTATTAACTTCAGTTTTAATTTATTTGAAAAAAAAAATATGTACCTTAACTGAGGTAAAAAATTGTATTAACTTGCCCAGCCTTATTTATTTCTAATTACATAGATTAAATATTATATTTATTTAAAGAGATAATATTGTTATTTACAAATGTATTTTCATTTTGAACTATTTCCACAGCGTGTCATTTGAAGTTTTAGATCTTTTTTTATAAAAGTAAATATGTATGTATAAGTTGCTCGTTAATTTAAGAATACAAATTCTACATAAACACAATAGTATTGTTTATCTGATTTAAATTTTTAAGTTAATTTATTAAAATATTTATATCATAAAAAAAAAAAATACCATAACTACAAAAATTTAATTTATACTTATTGAAATTTAAATAGTGTCACATTAAATTTTATTTAGGCTGCACTGTAAGCAATAGAGTTTATATTACAATAATAATGTAGTATTTATTCAATATTTGGTAGTTATAAGTTTTAGTGATATGTCAAAATATTCCAATAACAATCAATACAGTAATGTATGCATTATTATGTAATTTTTATTTTGTTTCATTCATAAAGAGTAATGAATCTTTAAACATATTTAGATAATATAAAAACAAATGAAGCACCTAAAAACTATTTTTTATCATATTTTACAAACAATTTTTTTACTAAATATTAACTTAAGAAAAAATATCAAATAAAGAGAAAAAATAATAGTTGATATATGACATTTTCTACAAAATATAATTAAATAATCATGTCATACACTTTTTCCTATACATTATATTCTAATCAAATCATTGATTTTCTTACACCCATTTAATTGAATACTCTTAGTAAAAATATGAAAATTCATACAAACCTAGAGTTACTTACTAGTTATTTTAATTTAATTTAATTTATTATGTAGGTATTTGATTTTAATTTTGTTATGATAATAGTATTATAGGTATATGCTATGCAATTAAGTAGAGGGAGACCTACTAATACTATTATGTATTTGTATAGTGTGTATAAGTACTGTGATAAGAGATTAAATTGGTTTCTGATTATTTATTAGTTACTAGCTATTAGTAGTTATGAATCCTGTAGTAAAATTATCCTTAACGAGCTGATTATTATTTTTATTTCTTGGGCGATTATTAGTGTTGAATACATAATTTTAACCTCCACGATTGTAATTTGACAAATGCGAGATATTTATTGAAAATCTGTAGATATTACCATCCCCATTAGAAATTATAATTAAAACTTACAACAGTATTTCCACTGAAAATCAGGACTTCTAATCCAACATATTAGGAGCAGATTTACGAATTAAACAAAATACGTTCTGTGAATCGTGTGAATTCTGTGAATTTATCCATTTTTGTATATTTTTATATGCCTATTATTTGGTATTATCTAGAAATAACTTAAATAAATGTATATTATTTTGGTCTTTTCATAGTAGGTAAATGAAAACTAAACAAAAAATTACCAGTCAATTGTAGTAGGAAATTACATCCAAAAAGCAGTGTCATTTTTTGATTAAAGTAAGATTTTTTGTGAAAAAATTTATTTAAGTAGGTACATTAAAAAAAAATAAATCACTCAAATAGTAAATTTACTAAAAGATCAAAAATTATTTTCGTTATAGGTACCTACTAGTATTAGGTAATAATAATTCATAATACTTACTTTATTTTCTTGGAAAATGTGAAAACTGGGAAAATAGTTGGACCTATATCGAAACCACAAAAAATCAAACATTCTTATTATTGCGCTAATAATAAAAATTGTATGTAAATAATGATATAAGATTTCTGTGATGGTGGTGCTTGAGTGGACACAACACTGAAATAGTGTGGTGTAATATGCCTATTAATTAAATGAATAACTAAATTAAACAAGTAATTGCTTATAAACATTACACAACTCCAATGATCCAATAAGTATCCTAGTATCTAATAATCATTTTATACTGTATAGTATTTTAGAATAAATTAGACAATTTTCATTCAAATTTTGATTAAAATGTGTCAACATTTTTAGAAAAATCATACAATTTATAATTTGTATTTAAATATATAGGTTTCTATTTGAAAAATCAAAATTGGTCTTGCCACAGGGTACTCCTAAATGTTGTTAACAAGGTACCTACTTAAAAATCTCAAAAATTAAAAAAAAAAAATTGGGTGAGCACGCTTACTGAATTACCTACCCTATACTTATATATATATATATATATATATACACAGTAGAATTCGCTTAATTGGGACACATTGGGCGATGACCTATTTGTCCTCATTATCTGACTGTCCCGATTAACTGAAGAAGCACTTGATTTTTCTCTGTGAAATCGCTTGAATTTAATATTATTCCGGTCCTTCCAACGATTTATCCAACCTTCTGTGGCCTTAAAATTACCATGTCCAATTTTTTCAGTAAAAAATTCAGCTTTTTACTGTAACATGGGGCCCAAAATACGAACACCATGTTCTGTAACAGCAGAAAACCATTCGTTCCTAGCTTTTTGGATCTTTGCCTTCTAGCTTCTTTTTCTGTTTACAGGTGCACTTTTGTTGTCGTTTAATTTTTCCCACTGTTCACGAATAGCTTTTTTATTATTTGTCAATCGGCTTAGTACTGATTTAGAGGTGCCTATTATTTTCTCTAACTCACAAAGACCGGAAGAATGAGGTTGAGCTTTAATTTTATCCAGATTAGAAATTTTTTCAATCAATGTTAAATCTTTACGAGACATAATTGTTACGTATTAACACAAACTGAGATCAATAAAACACACATACGTTAATACGCAGAGACGAAAGAACGCGAACTAAAGTTTTTCAACTTTGTACGTAGGCTAGTTGACTATTATCGTGGTAGTAGAAGAAAAATAAATGATTACCTATATAATAAAGCTATAAAGATTAGATAAATGATTGACATGATTGACATTACCTATATAATAGAGCTGTAAAGATTAGATAATTACAGTTTCGATAAGAAGTAGATAGATAAGTTAGGTCAGAATATCTAATTAGATGCTTTTATTTTTGTCCCTTATAACCGATGGTTTGTTCCGGATAAACAAAGTTAAATTGCCTTAAACAAATACATTCGTTCGGGAATATGACAATTTGTCCTCTTTATGCGGTGTCCCAATTAAGCGGATTCTACTATATATTATTTTATAACATTATTAAATTATATTATCTTGATATACATGTAATTTTAATTATTTCAATAATTTTAAGTATTTGAATTGAATTACTTATAACAGTGATGACAAACTATGGCTCACAGTCCAAATTCAAATTTGGCCCACAAAAGTATTAAATTAAAATTGAAAAAAATTCAATTTAAATTTATTAAAAATTTAGTATTTGTAAAATATAAATGAATAGCCAAAATAATGAATGTTTTTCATTTCTTATAGTCAATTATGCTGTCAATCAGACATGAACAAGTATTGCAACCTCATATATAATTTTTCTTTCGAGTAATTGAGGTTTTCTCCAAATTGACTGGTTTGTTTTCAACTTATTTGTAACTACAGCTTTTAAAATATAGTTGACAGGACAAAAATTGCATTGGGTTCCACTAAGGATCAAAAATTAAAACATCTATGTATGAAAGTCAATGATGGCAGTAGGGATATTCTAAATTATTTAAATGCCATAGCTAATTTTATAAGTATGATATAAGTAATTTTAATTTTTCAACAATTTTAACTTTTAACTTCAATTATTTACTATGAATCAATCTAAAGTGATGAGAATTATTATAGTTAGAATTATGGACGTTCAAGGTTATTTATTAACAAATCAGGTACTGAGTAATAATTTATATAAATACCAGGTACCAAGTAGTACAGAATATGATATCGGTTACCCAGTTAGGACTCAATGGCTGGGCTTAATAATTATATTTTTAATACTGTAATATTTGAAATGGAAGGTTTTTTTTATAAATGGTATACCTATATCTATCTATTTGCAGCGGTTAGAATGGGGGAGGAGCAGAGAGGAAAGAGCTTCTCTTCTTTTTAAGTCTTCAAAGACTAGGGGGACGCTTTATAGTCTTATTAAGAATAATGCAAATAATTAAATATCTACTAAGTACTTAAGTAATCACCTAAGTAATATAAGACAATGATGCCAGCCTACTGGTGCAGCAGTACAAGGAACTCTGTCTATTTTTAAATCCTTATTGGTAAACATATAATAGTCATGTCAACAATAATTAGTAATATTATAATAATGCCAAAGAAGAAATTTTCATTTTCTACCACAGCGCGATAATGCAATATAAATTCTTTCTTTTTTTTGGTCGAGTAGGTACATATATTTTTTCATTACATTGACACATGAAAAAATCATGTTATTATGCCAGGTACAGTCAAGTAAACATTACATTTAACAATGCGGAACATCCCTAGTTGTAACCACCATGAGACTTGATTGTACCAAGATGATCTGATGCCTAAGTTTGTAAAAAAGAAATTCATGTAAATTTAATTTTAACTAATTATTATATAATTAAATTATAGATTAAAACAATTATGTAATTTAAGACATTTTAGTTTTTTGTTAAGATTTAAAAATAATTGTGATATGAGAACCTTGAATTTTATTATTAGTTTAATTATTTTATATAATAAGACAAATATTAAAGTTATTTTTACTAAGTGCTTGTTTTTATTTTTTACTAACTAGTTTCTTATGTTAACACAATAACTCTTTGTTCAAGAAACTGTCTTTTAGGTATTCATCATATTTGTTTTCTACTTTGCTGGCTTCAATATTGGTCTATCTACAAAATATAACAATAGTATAATGTTAAAATAATATTTAATATGGTAATTTCTAAAATACACCTTTTTTTCTGATGAGTAAATGCAAATAGCTGGTCCATGATATTTATTGAAACCTTATTATGAGGCACTTGAAGAATTATAATACAATTTACTTGGTGTAGTTTCAACTATATCTACTGCAAGTTCATCACTAAACCCCTATAATATTAGATTTTTATTATAAAACAGAAAACATAATCATTGTTAAATCGTACATTTATGTTAGGAACTTGTTCCAAAATGTCTTGAGAAAAGTCTGTAATATGGGGGGAACATTTTAAGTTAGCATTATTATCATCATCTTTTTCAGTCTGAGTATCATTTTTCATGTTATCTTTGACAAAAATTATTTCTGGATAATTCAATCTACCCTAAAATTAATTTTAAATAACAATTGTGTAAATAACTTAGTATAAATAAATTATGTTATTAACTTACACCACGAACACGTGTTATTGTTACACAAGGAGTAGCTGTAGGTTTTAATACAGTGGTTCTTTTGTAGACATAAAAACTATCAGGTAAAAAATGAGCAGAACACATGACACTGTTTACTGTTATATTATTTTCTAACATATTACGGTCATCATCATAATTTTTAGTAAACTCGATCCATTTCTTAAGAATTTCTGGACGTTTTGGATACCTAAAAGAAAAATACTATAAATATCAATAATAATAGAAACAGTTGAAAAACCATAAAAATTGTAATCTAATTATGCATACAAATTTAAATTAATGTAACAGTAAACATATATATTTTTGACAAATAGATGAATAAATTAATGTATAGATAGATAGCTAGATAGCTAGATAGATAAAGAGACAGGAGTGCTTAACTTCGTAAATCATTTAGTGTATTTAATTTACAGTTATTAAGTTACTAATAAGGAATGTGTAGTAATAATATCTTGCTTAAATATTCTAGTAGGTACAATATATACCTAAGGTAATTATTTATTAATAATGAATTTTAGTTTAGGTCACAATTATAATTTATAGATACCTGTGAAAAGTAATTTTTTCGTTTTTACTTCTGGCATTTTTGGATCTACAGCACAAAAGACAACTCGGCATTTCAAAGTTTATGTAAATAACCAAATGTCTTGAGATTTAAACATCAACTATACCCTCTCTATATTACTCCCACAGTATCACTATTTCATTTTTTATGCCAGATGATATCGACTTTTTATGTGAACTATTTAGCACATAGTTACGTATAGCTTCAAAGCTTTTGAAATCGAGATGCATTTCTATTTAAAATAAAAACAACACTAATTTACTGAATTAAATGTATTGTTTGAGAAGGATCACAGTTCCAAAGAAAACTAAATATTTCACAATTTGTAATCATTACTCGTTAGCGTCAAACAGCTCAAACGTTTGTTCTTATCTAATATTCTGTACAGTGATTTTCTAATGGTTATAGATAATGTGTTTTTTTTTTTTATGATAACAAAATTCTATCACAGGATAATAAGTAATAATAAGACGTCAAAACTATGAAGTAAAATAAAACTAAAAATATTATTGCTAAAATTTTAATTAAATTTTAAAATGTTAGCACGTTTTATATAAACACATATCTAGTGGAAATATGTGGATGAAGTTACAGCAAAACGTCACATCATACATGAGATTTCAATGAAAAAAAATCAAATGTATTGAGGTCATTGGTATGTATATGAATATGTTAATGATAAATTGTATTCCTAACATGAAAAAAAACCTTGTAAATTAACCTGTGGTGTTACTCATGTTAAGGTTTAATAGTAATTTTGTTTTTTTTTTTGTCCATTGATAACTTATATAACTAATGGGTAATAAAATATAAGTATTGAACTGAGTAATATTTTAGCACTATGTTTTACTGTCAGTGAACTTCAGTGTAATTCATATGCATGAATTTCTGTACAAATCTAAACTAAAGAACTAAATATAGTTATTTTCAATATGAATGAGGTAAAATATGTTATACAATTAACTGCACGTGGACAAATTGTAGAAAAGTCATAAAATATGTAAAATAAATAAATAATTAATTAATAATTTTAAAACTTTAATTTAATTTATTAGATAAGTAATTATTAAACTACTAGGTAGGCAGTGAAAGAAACTATAGATTTTTTTTAAATGTTGACTTATTTTTAAATTATTTGAATGTGTTTAGTTTTATGAACATGCTTTAATTCTAATATTCATAATAATTACTCAAACAATTGATAATTTTAATAAACAGTTTAAAAAAAATAATCAAATATAACCGAAAGTGATAAAATGGAATATTATTTTATATTAGTAAATCATTCCTACTAAAAAATGATTTTAAGCAAATTTGGAATTTAATATATTTTAATTTTAATTTTTTTTTTTCAGTAAACCTTATTCGACAAACCACATTGATACATTGATCTCCAAATTTTCATTAAACAACAAAAAAAAAATTAACATTTTCTCCAGATATTAATATCAGGTTGTGTAAATATTCTTTGGCTTTGTATTCAATTTTTCAATTGAAACAAGTACGATTGATGAAAAATTCATTCATAGACACAAAATAAAAAAATATTGCTTTCAATAAAACCATTAGTCAAGTATTTAACTATTTATATATAGTCCGAGCCATTGATATCAATCCTGATTTAAATTCACTAAACATTTGATCTTCAATATTTTAACTATCTACATAATAATATTTAGTTCCCAATTTGTAGATATATTTTGTAAAACAATGTACATCCAATAACATTTTACTTACGCTACTATTTACTATTAATTCATATTTTTTTTTCAATAATAATATAATATGTTTTAAATAATATTTGTGTTATATGTTTTAGTATTTATTTTTTATTCAATTTATTATGTGTTACAGGAATTGGAAAAAATCTGAATCATGATGAATTCTCTAAGTGGAGATAATTCACGTCGTCGAATTGCAGCACTGTCATTTTTAACTAATATTTCATTAGATGGCACCCATAAAGATACAAAAAAATTACTTTTTATTAAAAACAACATGTATCATCTTCAAAAATCGCATGCAGATGAGTTTCCATCACTTCCTAACATTGAAACAAATGATGAGAATTCATTCAGTGTATGTGACACATTGGAACACATGGATACTGAATTTCATGGCGCTGTGAGATTGACAAAAACCCGGTCATTAACATCTACACCAATTAAATCAAATTTAACTGATAAACAATGTAGTGAAAAGTATTTTGAAATGTGCTCTGATAAAAGTTCTGGAAATAACCTTCCATTCCGTGAAAGGTGATTATTCTATTTCTTATGGTAAATTATTATCCACTGAACTGAATATATTTTAGCAGAATAATTAATTATTTTCAGAATTAATACAACTGGAAGTGATGTTACTATGGAATCAAAGAAAATGGCAGCTTACTACCAAAAACGCATGTTCCCACAATCATTATTGTCTGATAAAAGTAACATCAATTTCAGCAGTTCTGAAAGTCTTGGTTTAGGTAAAAATAATATATAAGTAAATAATTAAATTTTAAGTTAGTCTTATTCAATACTGCATTTAAATTTTATTTTATATTATGAAACGAATGTAATTAATCATTATTTATAAATTTTAAAACTATTTAATTGTATTATTTAATAATTTTACTAACAAACTTCATGGACTTGTAAACTATAATGCCAGTACAAAATATACATAATTATTATTCATGTTATTTAAAATAATTTTTATTAACATTTTCAAGTATTTATTATTTTGTATTAAGTTGTACACATAATTATATTTAACTGAAAAATTTTAGTGAAATATTGTTTTTAAAAGTGTGGTTGTGCGGTAACAATTTAGATTTAAAAATCAATGATCTATATAAGTAAAGAAAGTATACATAAAATATATAAAATATATAAATAAAAAATTTATGTTTAAATTTTTATTTATATATTTATTTACTTTATTTACGAGTATAAACCATTTTAATAATTTTGTTTTTACTTTATTATTTTATTATCCATATAAGTAGTATTTGTTTTATTTTATTGTAAAATTTATTAAAATCTTTTTTATTAGGTTTTAACTACTAATCTTTTTAAAAAAGTATACATATCATTTTTTATTCTAATCTATGTGTGGGAAGTATACATATTATGTCTGTATAGGTATATTTAATTAACTAAATAACAACAAGTTAGTTTAACACTACCCAAAAGTAGGTTGACTTAATTGGTATTCAAATATATTTAACTGGATGGAGAAACATCTTGTTTAAAATTAACTTTATTTATTTGTAATGTATTATGAATTATAAATAAAATATTTTATTTTAAATTACTTTATTATGTATGTATATTTTAAATTAATTTATTATCTTCTTGGGTTCTTGTACTTTATTTTTTAGTGTATCATATTCTTCTTTATAAAATAAACAATTGAAACTATATCAGAAATAATATTAGCCAATATTTCATCATAATTATTATAAAGCTATTTGATATAAGTATCGATTTCCAAAATTGCATTTTGTTTCATTTAAATTTGACAAATAAGTAATTGGTATGTATAAAAAGTTACAGCGGTATATAAAAATAGTACATTGCTTCAAGAAAATAGCTCATCCAATCACTCTGTGGATATTAGAGTTGTACGTCCGACAATACAACATCGATTCAAAAATGAACGTTTAGTGTTAGTGACTCCACAGAAAACTCCATTTCTTGTTTATTCACTTATACCATTCAAAAGATCTAATAGATCAGTAATGTTTGTACACATTTATACTTCTTATTTATAACTATTTAATAATTTGTCTTAATTAATATAATTATAGAGTGCGGTGTGAACCAAAAAAGGAACCCAATCGCAGAAGACAAACATCTGGAACTAGACCTTTATCCGCTGTTAATGATATAATTGATGCATTTGATCTCTTTGGATTAGAAAAAGGCAAAGATGGTCAGGTACAATAGAAATATTTTATTAATTACAATTTTAGCACAAAATATGTCTTAAATAATATTAAGATGCTAAATTTCCAGTTTCAATATGTATATTTTATTTTATTTGTAGAACAATTTTTTGATTAGCCAATTAAAGGGTAATAAAATTAAATATTATATTATCAATATTGATAATATAATTTATTTTTACACATGATATCTAGTCCCTGGGCTATCTGCTTAAAGTTTTAATTTTATAAATATGCAAGTTATATCCAACTGATTAAGGATAGCTAATTAAACAGGGTTGGTACTTTGGAATCCACATTTTTTTTAGTTTCTCAGTTTGATACTCCTGAAAAATCAACAAGAAGAAATTCAAACAAGCAAATTAAAGCAAGTTCATTCAGAATTGTTTTACTTGAGCAATGATTGCTTTTAAAATTAAAATAATAATAATAATAATAATGGCTTGCACCAATGTGGCCTATAAATGTGCAAGTATGTCCGCTTTTATTTTCATCTTAATCTTTCCATGCAATCTTAACACTTAAAAAAATTAATTTGTTTATAATTTGATAATTTATAGTTATTACTAATACTTTTATTATGATGTACTATATTGTTAGTAGAATTAAATTAATTAATATAATTTCAATAAAAATGTACTATACAAATAATATTCTGAAAAATCCTAGTTGAGAATAACTGAATTTTAACTTTAATGTTTAGATTTTCGGTTTAAAAATTTAAAATTTAGACCTATTTAAAAAAAGTGTATGTATTAAAATTGAAAACATAACAATTTTCATGCTAATTCATTAATGATATAAAATTTTAAATATTTTTAAACTGTTAAAAACAAATACAAATTTTTACATTTTTACAACTTTGAAAGCTCCAATTTTCTATAGTGTTCATTGAATCATCAACTATTTGTGGTGAGCTTTTTGAATCATTCAAATGTTACCGAAGTTCTAATAATTTAATTCTACAGCTGTATCTTTATTCTATAATTATTAAAAAAAAAATAACAATTATAATCTGTAAAATAGTTATTTCTCATCTTAGATCTTGTGTACATTGTATTTGTTTATGATCTGAGAATTATTAGTGTTGAAAGAATAATTTAAGGAAATTATTAATTGGTGTATACAATTTTGAACTTTTGAAATACATTAAATACCAATCATTTTAAATAAACATTAGTGGTTCAATGGTTTTAGTGTTTTAAAACCAGTCTTCAATGAATTTTAATTTTTGTTGTCTGTACAATTAGAAGTTAATATGAATCATTCAAATGGGTTTAACTACATTATAAACTGGTTAACAGTAGAGAGATTTGATATTGATAATTTTTTAAATGTTAAATATAGATTATTCTTATCAGGCTATAGAAATAATTCCATTCCTTATACTAATGAAAACTTAATATCTGACCAACACATTTATAATTGTAATTTATCATGTGGTTCATGTGACTTAAAGGATAAATATAATGACAGTGATCATAATTAATGATAATATTAAACAATTAATAATGTTAGAAAATAATTTCTCAATAAAATGGGGGATTGTGGTTTTTGACCTTCAAAGATATTTGTATTTTGTTACCTACGTTGCTACTGCAGAACAGTGTTTTTCCTAACAAAAGCTTATAAAGTCTAAACTTTTTTAAACTATCAATGAAAATAGATTGGATAAATTTATGTTAATTATTTTGAAGTTTTCATGAGTGATAAGATTAATAGATACACTTTAACTTAAAATATTTTATGTACTACTAAATTGTTTTTGCTAAATACATTTTTAAAATATACCTTTAATAATTATATTGTATATAATATATATTATATTATATCTATAAGCATAAAATATATTATTAAAAATTAATGAGTATCTGTTAATCACATTATTGATTGAAACTTTATTATACTTTGACTATTGAATAGAGATGTACACATTTTTATTCCAATACAACAGAACCAACATTTTAAGAAAGGTTTGATTAGATTAACCTTTATGTTCTTTACCAATTAAGATTATGAAACCACTAATGCAAAAAAATGGAATTTTTCTTTTTCATAACAAGGCTGCTCTGTCCCACCACAGAACATCATATTAGTGACTAAATCTAACCAGAACCAAACTATTGGGTATTTGGGTATTGAGTATTTCAAAATTTTAACAGTTACTCACATCTCTAATTTTGATTGCAGAAAAAAAAGCTGTTAGTTTTAATAAGGTGTGTGTTTGTTTTTCTGAAACTTTTTAGGTTCAATTTGAAAAATTTGATCACAGAATAAATTACGCATTAGCCCCTCTTTCGCCACCTATCACTTCATGAATCAATATTTCCCTTGGTTTACAATTATGTATTTAATATACTCTAAGTTAAATCTTGATATCAAATTATTCTCTATTTAAATGCCATAATTCTAAATAGTCCAAATATCACATACCAATCATATCAAGCTGCCATATTTACTCAGTTTTAAACAGACTTATGTCTATTGATATAATTTCATCTGTAGTCCATTATTCATTCTGTGAAAAAGTTACTGGGAGGTATCTGTAAAGAATCATTTCTGCATGTAAGCAGAGCATAAATTGTTAGGGATCCCTATAAAAATCCTGTTTGGCTCTAATCCCAACAAGATAAACATTTCATTATCAGTTATGATTTTTAAATATTTCGGTTTGTAAAAACTGAAAAGTGTTTTGTTTTTTAAAATACTGTTCATATGACTATTATTAAAATACCATTTATACTAGATCAAATATAACATGTGTGGAAGAAATAATTTTTATTTTAGGTAGGTAGGTTAGGTACATATTAAATTTAATATCAAATTATTATTTCTTGATAAAATATTGTTTCATAATTAAATACATTATTTCGTATGATACATAAAAAAAATTAAACATTAAGAATTCTCATTAGATGAAAATAAATAAATTACAAAATTTGAGATACACATGACATTCATTAATTATGTTTGCCCTCACAATCTATCTTTTATATAAAAATCACAATACTTTGTTTTCGTTGTCTATTGTAAGTAACTTCAAAAAAAAAAAAAAAAAAATTAATAGCAAATGTATTCTATTAATTAATGGAAAAAATGCAATACTCAGTATTATGATTATCTTGTTTAGATGGCCAACATAGTAATAAAATTAACTTTGCTTTATTGAATAAAAAATGCAGTTTTTACATTTTCATAGCTTTGGGTTTTATTGTCCATTTTTTCTTATTTTAGTCAATACATAGCCAGATAAATTATCAAATTAATACTCACAAAATGTTATTAAAACAAAACAAACATTTTAATATGAAATTTTGATGAAAATCGTAAATATATATTACAGTCTTTTAGATTCTGAATGGAGCAAGGAATTTATTGGTTTTACAAAGGTGTTTATTTTTTTTTTAATCTGGACAACTTTTCTACCTGAAATCTAGCTCAGATTTACAATAATAGCATTTCTTCTAAAAGGAAATCTAACTGGGGTGGTACTATAAGGAGGTAATTTTATGATTTTCCCCAATAAATGTAAAACCGAGAAAATAGCTACAATGTTAAATAAATATTAAGAAAATATATAATACCTATATAATTATTTTACCACAATATGGCAGACATATTATTGACAAACCAACACTATCAAGTGAATTCTGCTAAGAGTGTGTTTGGTTAACAATAGTTTATTGTTATTGACTAATATATATTAAATTTTCCTTTTACTACCTTCCCAACATTTCACCAACAACAGTGGCTGCACACATGTGCAAGTATGTCCATATTTTTAATTTCTGTAAACCATATTTTCTAGAAATATTGTTTTAATCAAATAACAGAAACTTTTTTTTATTGCATTTTGGATCTAGTTGATTACAAATTAAGTAGTTTTCATATTAATTGGGAATAATGAAAAGGTGCTGAACAAATTCACAGCATACAATTTCATTATTTTTAATTTTTACTCATGTTTTTACTGGAAATATCATTTCAATATCAAAACATCAAGATACCTTATTATTTCATTTTTAATCAACTGGTGAGCAAGTATTTCATCTTTTAATTTTAATTAGAAAAACCAGAAAACAGTTGAAAGTGTGAAACAGGAAAATGTACAAATACAATGTTTTTGTTATTGTCAATTTTGTTTTTTTGTTGTAATTTAGTTAAAAAAATTCACAACTAATTTTGACAGAAAATCTATATTTGTCTTTTTTATTCTAGACATGGTAAAATTTTCAAAACATTTGAAGAATTTTTAAGTTATTTATAGGTATTTTAATTTTGTGAGTTTTTTTACATAATTTTTGTTTGATAGGTACTCTGGATAAAATTGTTTTCCAAACAGAAATGCATGAAAATTTATTAGGAAGTTCATTATAAGTTGTAAAAATTGAGTGCAATTAATTTTTTTTTCATATGAGTTTTAATATCAAATTTTGACTGCATTTCAAAACATATATAACTAAACTTCTCTCAGATAATTTTTTATTGTTAATAATGGTTACCATTGCTCACATATATAAATTAAATAATTTTATATATAACCGAATATTTGACCTTAACAACTTCTCAACCACAACATACCTACAATACCTGTCTACAAAATAAAAACTACAGGACTATAATATATAGTTTATTTCTTTCTTCATATCTATTAATTTAATACATCATATTACTAACCACCTTTATTATATTGTTATTTAAATTAAATAAGAAAATGTTATATTATTATTTATTTTAATTATTGTTTTTAGTATTGATTAATGGTAAAATTATTTCCAGGAAATTTCATACTCTCATTTATTAATTCCTTCACGAATTGTTGAACCCAAGACACCAATTGAAGATATGATGCTAGATACAGTATTACAACCAAAACAACATACTTTGAGCAGGTAAATTAATTCATGGAAATTTAATAAACTCATAGTTGTAAGTAATGTAATTTATTAAAAATTAAATAATGGTTCTTTTTTTGTTACACGCTTATTTATGTACTTTGAATGATTTTTTTTTTTTAAAGTAAACTCTTTTTCTTCTATAAAGTTTACTCCCATTATTATGTATAGCACATTTCCTGAAAGTAAATAGATGGTACTTTAGATAGGTTATTTTTTGAAATTCTCATTAATATTCGAAATGGTGAGGAAAACCTGGTTCTTTAGATTAAAAAAGATTAAAGATGAAGTTGTCATTGTCAATTGTTTTTGTTTATTTTTTATTACTAAGTTTCTATTTTTTTTTTTATCTTTTTTAAACAATTGGTGTTGTTATGGAATGGCACATTGTTGTAATAATTTAACCATAATGGGACATATATATATTGTTGCCAAAGCAACACCATCAACTAAACTCGGAAACATTTTTTTGTTAATAATGGTTTATTGTTGTGTACAAATGTACATTTACATATTAAATTCCTGTCTGTATCTTACCTCACTAACTTCCTACCTATAACAGTGGCTGCAGCTATGTGTGAAGTATGTCACATACTTTTTTTATTTTTTGTATGGCTTAAGTTCTTACGTCAGTTTCTAAGTTTAGTTTAATCTGGAGACCAGAATAATATTATCTATCATTTTTCTTTTTCTGGTAAAAGTTGTGATTTATTTAGTTGTTTCTTAACATATTTCTTCTACTATTACTAGACTATCTAGAAAGCAAACACCTGGTTATTTTATTGTTGCACTAGGTCCAGTTATCATAGCTAGACCTAAATATTTCTAAAAAATTGTAAAAATTTATAAAATGTTTTTAAATTTTTTATTTATTTATTTTTTTTTTATAAAAAAATTAACAATATTTACTAAATTAAATTATTAATAAGTTTAAAACATTTTAAGTGTAGTCACAAACTTGATAAAAAAAAACTCACATTTGTAGTATGTAACAACTTCTTCTGTTTATGAGATTTATAAGATTGACTATTATCTTTCTAAATTTATTATAGATGTATTTCAGCTGATGTTCCTGATAATTTAATGATTGGTACTGGTACTTATAAAATGTTCACTCTGCAACCATCATCATCACCTCCGAAAACCGATTTAGTAAAAGGTAATTTATTAACATTCGGCAAATTTATGTTGAATTAATAACACATATTTGTTCGTTTCAGTATCTTCTACAGAACAAGATGAAAATGGTTCTTTTTCTCCCAGTATTCTTGATGATCCAGAATTTTTTGCTGGAAAACATAGAACTCTTTTAACATTTATATCATACATGGTAAACATATAATGTAATATTATATTATAATCTTCTTTTTCTCTTATCTCTTCATCCCAACTACAAAGGTTGGCTACCATTATTTTAAACTTCCAGTTCGTCCTCTTTTTCTATAACATTATAATCAAGAAGTCACATTAATAATTATAAATAATTATTTGACATTTATTGTTATACATCATTTCATTATTGAAAGAAAGTCTTCACTAAGCCTAAAATTAGTATTTTATAAATTTATTATTGAGTAGTCTAAGGAAAAAGAAATATCTTAAATAACTTTTATGAAAGCGCCTGGTACTAATGTAATTTTACCCACAAAAATATACTACAGAAATAGTGATACTATTCAGTAGAATCAATCCAATTCAATTTTTTTTTAATTTATAGAAATATTCTTCGCCTTGCATTGAACTCTGTTTTTAATATTTTATTCTAAACATTTATGAGTTTTTAAGAAAGATAAATATTAAATTTTTTTCCCCCCATTTTTTTTAAAATTGGAGTTCAATGTGGCCTGTAGAATGTTGTTTATCAAAATATTGAATTGACAATATACTATTTCTGTGATGTCATTTTCTTCAGTAAAACCAGTTCCTTCCCCTTAAATCAGTTAGTAGATTAGTTAGAGAATACTATGTTTAAGGTAGTCATTAAAATATTAAAAATAATATAAAATTTTTTTGAAATTGGAGAAAATTTGAAAACTGACACTGGTGTCCCTTAAGCTTTAATAATTAATGGACTTAAAAGAAAATTAAATAATAATTTTAGGTTTTATAAAATAACATTTTTTTAAATTGTTTGCCTTTTTTAATATATTTTTTTCAATTGTCCATGTATGATAGTTGTATAGTATACATTTAATTTAAATTTGAAAATGATAATGCTTGCATAAAAAATAGTTTTTTTAAAGAAATGAGTGTGTATGCTATTTATATTATATTTGATCTATCTATATTTGCGTGTCTTATATAAAATAAAACTTTTATTATATGGAAAATATAGTTTCTCTACAAAATTATTTTATTTTATGTATTCCAGACATCCATTATTGATTATGTAAAACCAAGTGATCTTAAAAAGGAATTAAATGATAAATTCCTAGATAAATTCCCACATATTCAACTAACATTAAGTAAACTCAGAAGGTAAATGAGAGAATGATTATAAATAAAACTAATCACGATTGTTTATGTTTATGCTGTATATTTTACTAATATAACTATAATAATTATTGTTTTTTCAGTATTAAACGAGAAATGCGGAAAATTACCAAACCAGATGCTACATCAGACTTGCTAACTATAGCCCAGGCTTATGTATTTTTTGAAAGATTATTAGTTAAAAGTTTGATTAATAAAGAAAATCGTAAATTATGTGCAGGAGCATGTATAATTTTGTCAGCAAAGTTAAATGACATGAAGGGTGAATCTTTAACTAATCTCATTGAGGTATTTTTCTCTCTATTACTATAAAATTGTTGAATATTAAATTTAAGAGCTTTAAAATATTTAATTATTTTATCATGTGTTATTAAATTCTTATTATGTGCTTCTTTTTCTTCTTCATATTCCTCTTCTATCTTAGAAATGACCATTATAGTGTTTATCTTTTGTTGCTCTGAATAAATCTTTAGTGATCCATTAGAACCACCATCTTAGATTTTGCACCCAGGTTATTCTAGGTCTTCCCCTGATCTTCTTCCCACACATTTTGTTTGTATTACAAGATGTATGAAATTCTCATCCCTCAACTTATATATAAAATATTACAGCTTCCTGGATCTTATACTATTCATTACCTTGGGTTTTTTGTCTATTCTTAAAATGTTTATGTTTGTAGCTTTACAAACCTAAGAAATATCAAAAGTTCTAAATACCACATATCGTATCCAAGCTTCCATTTCATACAACCAGGGCTGTCAATATTTGTATCCTTTAATATGTTAATTAATTTATCATTATCCAATACTTTGGTAAAATCTATAAAACACTCAAAAATATTTCTGTTGACACCTAAGCACTTTTGCATAAGGATATTTATACTGAATAATAATTCTCTGGTTCTTATTTCTTGTTTAAAACCATTCCATTCTCCAATTTATTACATATCCTTTGGTGTATGATCTTTAAAAATAATTTTGAAGTTCATTAGAGCTATTGTTTTATAGTCTGATTATTCTTTTATGTCAACCATTCATCTGGTATCATTCCTGATGCATAATATATTGTATTGAATAAATCAACTAACATATCTAACCTATCATCAATATGTTTTCGAACTGCTAAAACTGTTTAAAAGTTCGGAAGGTACTTCATCAGGGCCTGCTATTTTCCTTTAATTGGCATTCTTTAATATATTTGTTACATCTTTTTTCTTATGTGCTATTATGGTAAAAATACCGGTTTTTTTTTATCAATTTTAATTATGCCAATTAAGACTTTTGACCACTTTATTCCCCCATTTTGTTGTAATTCATTTTTGTTATGTCTATTAACTTATATTATTCTATTATTATTAATAATTTTACATGTTACTATTTTTAAGATGTATTCATTTGTTGTATTTAATTTGATTCTAAAAGAAGTATATGAAAATTAAACGACATATCTCTGTTTTATTAATTTTTAATAATTTAGTACTTTTAAAGGAATTATAATAAATAATGATGTTTTTTTTTTTAGAGAACAGAAATAGTGTTTCGGTTGAACAGAAAAGATTTGATGGTTTCTGAGTTTGGAGTACTTGTAGCTTTAGAATTTGGTCTTCACATACCTATTCATGAAATAATGCCTCATTATCAACGATTACTATCAGAGTCATGACATAAGTATTCATTTCTAAAAACTTTAGATTTCAGAGAAATAGTTGAATGTCTAAAACTAAATAGAATCAATTATTTGAAGTAAGCTTTGTATTGCTTACATAACTATGGTAGGTTAATTTTTACAGTATTTTTTATATGAACAGTGAAGAACTCTTCTTATAAATTATAATTTTAGTACATTTTACATTTTTAGGTTTAGCTGATTGAGTGAATAATAGTCATGTGTAATCATGTGGCTCACAATTTGTTATCAGATATATATTTTTCAATGTTGATTATTTTTAGATAAAAGTATTGTTATTATATAGGTAAAGAAGAAAAAATTAACAAGTAGTCTTTTATAAAAATATAAAAATGGTCCAATACCCATTATCATAAATGTATGTACTATCGGTGCCAGAAACTGTCATAGATATTATCTAATCATTATTTAATTTAAATATAAATATAATATAATAATAATTTTAATTTCATGATATACACCAATATTAACCAATTAATCACATTGTTACCAACTGATAAAACTGCACAGGCATACAACTCAATTTAAAATAAATTTAACTGAAGTTTTTTCCAAAAAAAAATTTTAAATTTACTAAGAAATTTGACTTACTCATTATTACATACATTTTCTATATTACTTACATTTTGTAATTTTTAACTCTCTCAGTGACAATTGCCTCTGTAAAAACGATAATTTTCTAAATTAAAATTGATAATTATAGGTTGTAAAATTCAAATAAATTGAATAAATAATATTTTAATGATATTTAAATAAAGATGTTAATAAAATAATTATACATAAAACTAGAAAAATATTATTTTTATTTTTTTTAGAATGGAGCCTCTAAATAAAATGTTCGATTATCAAGTACCAAATTAGTAATTTCAAATTTTGGATTTGCTTTTTTCCTATCCATTTCCTTTAAAGATATGTTCAATCCCCATTTTAGATTTTGAGCATTGATGGTTCGTACAATCTCATTGCCCATGTGCAATGATTTATTTTTGATTAATTGGGTATGGACCAATCGGTGCATATTTGCAGGAGTGGAGTGTCGAAATTCTCACCAGGCAAATAATATATATATATTCAATTTTTACTATATCTTGATAGGTACCATATAGATAGTTGTGTACCTAATTTAAATGAGAGAGAAGTATAAAAACACTTTTAGAAACTTTCATCAATCTTAACTACCAAATTAAATCATAGTAACTGATTTTTTTTCATGCTTGTTGCCAAGGTAATTCATAAATCAACAAAAAAAGTTCAATAATTTCATTCCAAAGAACTGTGTTTTTAGGGATTTAATTTTGAGATAAAAATTGACATTTATCCTGTTTTAAAATAAAAAGCAAACATAAATTGACTTTGGTTTTATATATATAATTTTTTAATGCTGAATAGTTTATATTAATTTTTTTATAAAACATGGTCAAAATTAAACTTTAAACACTTCAGATCACTTACTTGACAGACTACCTAGTATTTGTCCTGTTGCTCAACAGGTCACTCCACCCCTGCATATTTGTATTGTTGTTTTAGATACATTTGTGATATTTATTATAGTAAGGCTTTCATATACTCATATTATATGCATAATTATATTTAACTAAGTATTTAATCCTTAAGATATGTTATAGTGTATTTAAAATAAAGCAATAAAATGTATTATTATATTATAAAACTCATAACAAATATTTTTAAATAATATGTTTTTATAGATAGTTATTTTAACACCAATATTTTATTTTATACTTATTGGAAAGAAAGAAAAGATTAAAAATTGTAGAAATTGATTGTAACATTAATCTACTATATAAACTTATGTGTGTAGATATATATTTGATATTTATATGATATGCATAAGTAGAATAAAAAAAATTGAAACTCATAAATGGTCTTAACTTTTTATAATTGTATGATCATTGGTCACATTGACTAGCCCCCCCCCTACAATCCTGATAGTATGTGCTGTGTGCATACATTTAATAATACTCAAGTAGCCCAATAGATAAAAAGAAATAGGAATCCATTTAGGTAGGACATGGCACAAAATTGTTAGTTTTCAAATGACAAGAAACTAAAGTGATTTTTTTCTTCCCATAACAAAAATTTTGTGTGTGTGTCTGTTTGTTCTTTTAGAACTCAAATACTCAAGTAATTTAAATATTATAATTCTAGGAAAGTATGTATATAATTTTGTATATTAGTAGTAGAAGCACCAGAATTGCATTTATTGGTTTGATAATTGCAGACCACAGTTGGCTGCCATTCATATTCATACCTTTCTACCTTTTGGATAGTCCAATAAAAGCACTAAAATTAATAACATGCAACTGAATAGCGTACAGGTCACATTCTACAAAAATTAATTTTAATAAAAGACATAAAGACTGGTCTAGAGCGCCACAAATGTCATGGCCTGAAGTCCAGCTATGTTTTTACATCAATAGTTATAATTTTAGACTGTGTATCCAACCCCCTCCCCCGGTTTATATTGCGAGTACCCTTAGCAGGGCAAGATATATTTACCTTTATTTAATCGTTGAAACCAGAGTAAACTAAAACTAGTAAAAATATATCTAAACTATTTAGTAAACGTAATTAATTAAATTTTGTATTTATTAAATATTCTCAGAACTAGGTATTTCGATCGAAAACGAAAATAAAAAAAGAGCTGATATTGTGGATGGGTGCAGCCACTGTTGTAGGTGGAAAGTTGGAAAGGTAGGATACATAAAATTATTTAATTTATATCTGTACGCAAAGATAAACCAATGCTAATGAAAAACGATTCGGATCGAAGTTCGATGAGAAATATTTTAAAATGCCATAATTTTTACGATTTTCATCAAGAAATCAGACTAACAAATTTAAATTTGTTTTTATACCACCAAGTACATCTTATAATATACCTTAAGTGTAATGCATGTACATTGTACATATTTTTGCATTTTTATTATAATTTGAACTTAAATCGGGTTTCCTCCCTTATTGGAAATATAAATAAAATTTTAAAAAATGACTTAGCAACTGTAAGCAAATATTTAGCCTAGCAGTAGTATTATTAAATGGGGTTTCTTTTGTAAATATTACTAAATCCACGAGTGACGTTGAGTTCAATAATTTCAAAGGACGCTAATTTTTTTTAAGTCTTATAGTCTCATTTCTTTTATTTATCCAATTGAAGTACTGATCAAACCTTAACGGAAGAAAGGGGGAAGTTTAAGTCAAAGGCCGTAATAATAACGACTTTCGTTAAAATTTAATTTTAAAATTATTATAAAAAAATGAAATACTTAATAAAAAGCTCAATTTTGATTACTTAATATACTCAATATATGAATACTTTAACTGAATTATATTAATAAAACAAAATTTAAAATAATATAGATATTATATTCGTACATTTTCCCGTTCTTTCTACGTATTTTTCGGTTTTGCTAAATTATAAAAATAATTATATAAAAAAATAACCAAAAAGAACTGCTTTCTTGATCATCAACTAGATTATACATAATAATTTTAAATAATAAAAATTGCGTTGTAATATGAAAAAAAAAATGAATTTTTCGGATTTTTTGGTTTTACCCAATAATTATGAAGAATACTTTGGATATAAAATAACTTTCTCTGCAATTGGTAATATGTTAAAAAGAACAAATCAATCTCTTGTCATTTTTCAATTAGAGTAATATTTCTGGTAGATAATACAAATAAGTTGCAGAAATTAAAAACAATGAAAACCGTAACACCGTTAATATTTGTTTTTTTACCTGGAATTTTCATTCGGGGTTTTTTAAATTGCTTTGAAAACCCGTGGAAAAATCTAAAAAATCACCTAATGCACTAACTACACAAAATTTAGTATCAGAAAAGGTACTATATTCTATACATGGGAGCAGCAAGATTTATTTTCGAGAAATTTACAATTTACATGAATTCCGTTTACATACAAAAAAAAAAAAATAAAATTTTAAAAAAGATGCGGACGTCCTTCGAATAATGGCCATTGTTGAAGGTGAGAAGTTGCGAATGTAGAGGAGAAATTTAATGTATATCTGTACACAACGATTAATCACGAAAACGATTCTGAGCGAAGTTAGGTTAATAGTATTGCTTTGTCAATAATATATATCATATTATAGTAAAATAATTACATATTATATTTTCTTTAATAATATTTGTTTAATATTTATTGTATCTATTTTCTCGTTTTTTTTTTTTATTTTTTACTTTGTTTTTCACATTTTTTGGGAATATCAAAAAATGACCTTCTTAAAGTACCTCCCCAGTCCGATTTCCTTTTAGAAAAAGTGTTACACTTGTAAATCAGAACAAGATTTCTGGTAGTAAAGATTTTACAGATAAGAAAGAAAGAAAGAACGAAAAAAACATCACTGTAAAACCTATACATTCCTCGCTCTGTTCACTAATCTAACGCACATCATAATAAAACCAATAGATCCCTCGCTACGTTCCGAATCTAGAAAATCCTATAAAAAAAAACTGACTCAGGGAATCGTTACCTACCCGACTATTACTGCAGAACTGATCCATGACTGTCCCTTTGCGCACTGACGTGTTCTGCCTGTCCATCCCTCACGGATACGTGATCGGTGGCGGTAGCCACTATTCCTATGGTTAGTGATCACGGACAGCCAATTTGAAAAAATGGGACTGGTCGAACTCCGTCTGCTGGCCTCGGTCGACTGACCGCGATATTGAAGGGCACGCAGTCCTCGAACATTTGATGGTGCACGATATCGTTCCAGATTTTAATGCATACAAATTGATGGTATACACATAACATAACGTGTGTACGTTATCGAACTTTGTTCGTAACTATCGTACATACAACCCATCGGAAACGGAAAACGACTAACGAGATAATGTTTGATTGTTGATAAGCTATTATGTGTTGAGTTAAAGCATAGGCCAGTCATGTGAGGTCAATGAATAAAGACTCCAATTATCTGCAGTAATAATAATTATTATAATGAATATTTAGTATACAGAGTGTTTAATTAAACGTGCACGTCCATTTTTATCAGTTAAATTTTGCATGTATACAAATTCTGACTTTTGGAACATTTAAGTTAAAATCTGTGTATGCGAAAATATTGACTTTACTACACTTAAAATGTCCAAAAATCAGAATTTGAATACATGCAAAATCTAACCGAAAAAATGGGAAAAACACATTAACTGTTTCTCCATTTATTGACGTAGAACTACATTAAATTAAAATTTTGACAGAACACTTATATTTGCCTTTTCTATACGTGGTAAAATTTTCATGACATTTGAGGAATTTTTAAACTATTTACAGACATTTTTATTTTGATAAATTTTTACGTATTTTTTATTTAGTAGGTACTCTATGAATAAAATTGTTAAACCAAACAAAAATACTTAAAAATTTAACAGTAAGTGCATTATGTGTCGTACTTTATGGACGAAAAAAATTGGGTGTAATTTCGACATTTTTTTAATAAGCATTTTAAATTTTAATATCTTTCTTCGACGAAAACATAAAATATATTACTACAATTCAAAACACATATAATCTAAGTTCACTCAGAATCGTTTTTCGTTAGCAATTATAAATCATTGCGTATAGATATAAAATGAAATCACTTATATGTCCTATACCTTCCCAGTGTTTTACCTTAATTTTAAATTTTCACCCCAACTTATACTTAAAATGAATATTCGCATTAGATGTTTTAATATTAAATATATTTTCAGTCACATTCAAATTGAAAAATATTTTTATGACTAGTATAATTAATGGTTCTTATAAGTAGGTATGACAAATATGTGTGGAATGTGTACAATAGATATAAATGCAGACTGCATACGCGTGCACACGGGAGGGAAGGTGGGCAGGTACACCGCCTGAGCTAAATTTATCTTACAAAAAGTTTAAAATTTAAATTATATTTCTTATATTTGTAATTATATTAATAATAAATAAAATTAAAATATTTCCATCACGTACATTAATTGAACTAAAAACCAAAAACATATTCCATTATATTGCATACTACTCATATTATATAATTATACAAATTATTATGTTATATGTATTAAATAATATATTATTACATATTTATATGAGTGGCATTTAGGTTTTTGTCTTGGAGGGGGGATATTATTTCATCCAGTAGTAGAAAAAGCGACCTGTTCTCGATTGATTGCGCGGCTTTCCGTTGTACGATCCGTCATATATTTTATTGGAATTTTTCTAAACACGATAAGGTTAGGTGATGTTCGATTCGGCAATTGAGCCTACGCCGATCTGGTAAAATATGTATAATACTCATATATATATATATATGAAATATGTAGGTCGTCCCATTAGCCGGATCATGGTTTTCTACCGATGTAGATAACCGCGGTGCCCCGGATGCATGGGAATTCGACGTGTCCTCAATTGATTGCGCGGTCTCCCGGAAGAGAAGCCTTCACAACAATTATATAGAAATTAGATGTTTTCTGTGCAAATGCCAGAAAAACAACTATAGATAATTACACAGAGTATACAACGTGCCGAAATGATAATTTTGAGGACTATTTATAGCGTTTGGACTTCTTGATGTTGTGCAGTAGCCGTGTGAAGTTAGTCCGCATATCCAACTGCTAGAGGTTCTAGTCGTATTTTTTCCGTCAACTGAGAGGTCAATAAATTCTGTGTCCGTCAACCTGACGACGGTAGGCCAAACTTTTGGTCAGAGGTCCATCAGTGGCCGCAAAAGTCGCGGCCGTCGATGGTCGACGAAGCATGTTTTCTACTTAACGCTCTCTGCCGGCGCCATATACCGACAATGACGAATGATTCGTACGACTTTCGCCACACCAGCGGCGTTGTCACNCGGCTTAGCACACTCTGGGCACAGAATAAAACATCGATTTACTCTCCCCTTAGTAGTGCCATTTCTCTGTTAATAGCTGATCATCGTTTAATCTGCTGTTTTCGCGAGAAAGTTGTGGTGTACAATGATCTTCAATTTGTATTATTTCAATGTCAAATTCCATCGTCGATTTGTGAAACGATTAAAATAAAGCGACGAGTACATTACCGACGTTTCAGACATTTATTAAACTTAGCTACCTATAGGTATGATCTATTATTTTTACATTCAATCACTGAGTTTATTTTATTGGTTACGATTAATTATATAGAATATTTGGCGAGTTGTGTATATACTTTTTTTTAATAGTATTAAAATTGAAATTATTTCCATGGACTATTTTATAAAAAATATTGAGCTTGTGTTGTTAATTATGTTTATTTAATGGAATATGTTCAAATCTATAGAATATTGAATTTATTTTTTTTTGAGAATAAGGGTGATAGAATCAAATGGGATTGTTGCATCAGTGTTCTAATCAGTTTTTATTCACAGGACATTCCATTATCTATTTGTCTATATACTTATTTAGAGTATTAACCATTTAATAATTTTGTTTTTACATTATTATTTTAATTCTCCACCATACACCACTAACTTAACTTTGCACTCTATATAAATAATACATTACAAATTAACTGTATAGTATAATAGGCTACATACAAATTATTTTTGAATTATAACTATTTCTATATATTATTCATAACATTTTCAAGTATTGAATTATTTATTAATAATTATATTACAATTAAATTAAACAAAACAAAAGTGTTTCCTTTAAAACAGCTGTATAGATAGCATTAATTTAAAAGCAAATTGAAAGCTTCAATACCTATTTGTGCTTTTTTAATATCTAAGGTTTATCTTTATATTATTCAATGTAAACTCTAATTAATAAATTACAAATATAGAACTTATTTGTAATCAAATACAACATAATTTATTTAATATTTTAATACAAAATACTTTTACATTTTAAAACAGCAAAAATATTTTCATCAAAATCAAACATCACTGAAAATTTAATAACAAAAAACCTTAATCTGATAAACAACTGAAAAAAATTATAATGTGTTATTCATAATAGTCTTAAGAATAATCAAGTCATACTAGAGATATTGTCTTTTATTTATCTATTATATTTTTTCCAGAGGTACTTAAATTTAAAATACAAATAATACAATAATAATATAAATCATAAATTAAAACTGTAAAAATTCTCATAATTGATTAAAAATCAGTCATATTTAAACGTATTTAAAAGTACAAACATTTATTGCCAAATGATTCAATCGGAATCCAAGTCTGAACTCATCTCCCTTGTACTTGTGAAGACATGTGTTCTTTGTCTGCATCAATAATTTCATTGGATATGACATCGACTTTCCAAAATTTATCTTCCGCTTTTATTAAATGGGAAACAAAGTTCTTCCACATGTCTGGTGTAACCCTTTCCACGTCTTCTTTTAATAGTTTACAAACATCTTGTAATTTATATGTTGTATTATTCAGACGAACATAATATTTTACGGATGCCCAAGCGAGTTCTATTGGATTTATTTCACGGTGGTAAAGCGGCAGACATAAAACAGTTTTATTAACAACCTTCGCTAATTCATCAATTACACATAGAT